AAATGGTTGGATCTGAACAGTGAGAATGTGAGGAGGGTGATGAAAAACAGGGTAGATCTGGCGAAGGAGAAAGGGTGTGATGGTGTTGATCCTGATAACGTTGATGGATACGTAAGTAAATACCCACCCTCCATACCATCTCCATCCGTATAAATATATGTATATACTAACAACCCCACCAGCAAAACAACAACGCCCTCTCCCTCACCCCCTCCTCCTCAATCTCCTACCTCCAATACCTCTCCTCCCTCACCAATCCCCTAAACCTCACTCTCGGCCTCAAAAACGCCGGCGACATCATCCCCGCCGTCCTCCCCATTGTACATTTCAGCGTCAACGAGCAATGCGCAAAGTACGGTGAGTGCGCCACCTTCGCTCCTTTCATCGCAGCGGGGAAACCTGTGTTTCATATCGAGTATCCGGATGGGGCGGGGGCGGAACAAGGGTTGGAGGAAGATGTTGTGGGGAGGTATTGTGATAGAGAGGGGAAGGGGGAGGGGAGCGAGGGGTTTAGTACGGTGTTGAAAACGATGGAGTTGGATGGGTGGGTGGAGTTTTGTGATAGAAGAGTTGAGGTTACGGATGTGGATGAGGGGGTGGGGGGCCATGGGTAGAGAAGGGGAGAGGGATGTAGTGGTATAGCTCATGATAATGTCTTTGTTCATCGAAATCTGCCCATTACTTCTGACACCTAATGTTGTGTTTAAGCTCGAATGCGCATGGTTTCGTCGCTAAACCAGCATGCTTAGCTGTATCAAGCTTTGTGACACAACCGGGTTATCGTAGTCACCTATGCTGAGTACAGCCTGCTCTGATCACATGATGTGGTAGTTCCTATACCTGCGAGGCCAAGAATGGAGGTCAACCCCCGTGACCTGCCTCATGCTGTCTGCTGACACAGCATTCTCTCTGCAGCAACATCTCCAGATCGTGATGAAACACTGTACCAGCAGCAAACGGGTCAGTCAGACTTCCAAGCGGTATGCCTCCCAGTATTCCCGGCAAGCAAAACTCTCACGCCCAACTCCAATCTTCCACATCTCCGCTACCCCAGCTCCCATACCCTTCCCTTCTGCTAGCCGTATATCACACAGCACACACAGCCTCGGGCTATGCAACTTGGCTTTAGCCGTCGTAAAAACTGGAGAACCCCTGCTTACACTGGCTCTTCCTACCGAAGTGATGGTGTGCTACGGCCGGGAATCTGACATCGGTGGCGTGTGTTTGAGGCTGACCAGCTCACTGGTGGAATATGGCGTTACCAGCATTTTGCTTGTTTGATGCATCAAGCAGAGAGTATGCGTAGTATGCATTCAATCTCGGTACGGGTCGATTTTGCCAAGGTGTAGCTACCGGCCGGTTGAATGCGATTCAATATCCGATGCAGGTGAGGTGGAAAATCTGGGGCGGGTAGGTCGTTTGCGGTAGGTATGCTCGGCATATTGAAGCCGTCTAATATTTCGCCTGCGGTCGGTATAGTAAAGCTTTTGGTCGAGCGGGTAAGCTGACTTATTCGAGCAAGTTGCCGGGTGGGGCAGAGATGTCGGGGCAGAGTGGCGTGTTCATCTAGCTCTAGAGCGCGATCTGGTGCACCGGTCCCGATACAAGATGATGCAGTAGTTTCTAGATCTGAACGACGACTTTAGTGGCAGGTGTGTAGGTCCCCAGACTGCGAGAGGACCGCCGCTCGGGGCCAGATGTGCGGTATGGCCGGGACGAACGTACAAGTCGCATACAATACGAAGTACTTAGATTGACCATAGATCTCGATGCGCTACAAGGGTCGACATTGAGGTTATTCGGGTTTGTTGCAGACTTGTTCGTACCAGCGGACCGGAATACACGTCACACGGATCCTTCCCTTGATGCAAGCCACCATGGGCGGTACATCCACCGTATCGGCGTGCGATACGAGCCTCTGAGAGTATCGAAAGTCCTTCGTGTGGTTGCGATCACGCCAATTCACTTTCCATATTCGGTAGTCGGGTTCTGCCGCATATATTGGGATCCACTCTGTGTAACTGAAACGTTAGCACGAGGCGAATAGACTCAGCTGTGCTGTCTACCGGAGGTGTTCTTTTTTACATCCCTACAAACCAGTATGCGTGGTTTATGAGAGCTCTTGCCAATATAGGTAGGTGAGTCCCGCACATCGATGTCGTCATTTAGCGAGGCTGAGCACGCGCAATGGCGTCGCCTCATCGTGTCTTGTTCTCTACCTGTAAAGGCCTGGCGAACTGGCGGGACGAATAGCTGTAAATAGCTGTACGTGTTAAGAGCTATTTTGGATGAGGTTTCCTTCATGTTGTTACCCTCGTGTTGTTTGTGGTGTGATCCGAAGGTTGGCATCTCGCTTCCAGACCCAAGCGATCGGAAGCGCAACGGACGCATCCTTCGAATGCAGCTAGAGAAGTTTATGTGCAACGAGAAACCTGCACAGTATGCTGTAAGCGAAGGATAGAAGTTTGACGCGGAGAAGCGCGACAGTCCGCGAGACAGCAGTGATGGCGGCACGACTTCGGCCCTCTGCACCTGTCTAAGAAGCACGTTCACTGCATATCTTCGCAGAGCCGCCGGTACTTGGTATCCATCCTGTCGCGAAGTAACTCCGGTGGTCATCCAAGGATGACATACATCAAGGAAAGTGTCAATATCGAGGCCTGGAGCATCGCTTGGAAAGATGCACAAATAGACATGGGCCGACGCGGTACGCAGCAGAGATTGAATTTCGAAATGAAGGCCAAGGTTGAAATAAAGTGTGTATGCAGCTCTAGTGCAGGACGAAAGGCTTGTTTGTTTGATCCGGGGAAACGCGCAGGGGTTGAGTGAGCTAGATCTGCCGCCTAAAGCGGCAAACAGGGGAGCTCTCGGGGCAATATTAGAGCCAACCAGATGAATAATTGGTAGTCGAAAATTTGAAGGCGGGTTTTTCGATGATCGTTGCTTGTTTGAAGACGGCATTGTGTAACTGGGATAATTCCTCGTAAGCTTTCCTCGGATTCAACCGACGGAGTGGCGGACCGCTTGTGTCACGGAAGGACTTCTTACATCGTGGACCGCTCTTGACACGCCTCGTCACGGCGCATTAGCCGGCTCGCTGTTGAGAAAGCCACGGTAGTACGAAGCAGTCGTGACCAGAAGATCCTTTCCTTCTGCATGCCAGCTTCAATTCGAAGATCAGGATCACTCAGCCCCAGGTCTCTAGACAGTGTAGTCAAGTGATTAAGGCTTGCCGCATAAGTGCTCGTAGCCGATGAAGTAGTTGAGACTGACACGGAAACGACAACTGTTGAAGACGTGGGTGTCTTGCGTGGATTTAGCGATCGATGACCTGATATCTACATCATTCAGTTCCAAGGCTGTGACCCTCAACTCAACAGCGCATCCAAGCCTTCGATAAACGCAGGTAGCACACCGTCGAGCTCGGTATAGTTCGAGCTGCCTGTTAACCAGATCCCGCGGCCTACGGCTAGTAATTGCAATAGCGTACTAGCCGTCTCGAGAATCGACAGATCCGGTGTGGAGTGCACAAGCAGCGCAAGCTTTTCGCGATCATATGAACCCGTCGCCTTGAAGAGCTCGCCACTTTCAGTCGTCCAATTGGAAAATGAGTTCTCGAAAACAACGGTCAAGTCCGGCCCAGTGAACAATGCCTCATCAAAGTAACGAGGCTCTGGAAGAGCGCCAGGGTTGTGAACTATAGTGCAGTGTCAGCCTTACGCTCATGTAACTGCCGGAGTTGAATAATGGGGGTTCTTCTCGCCTGCAATAGAAACAGACCCATTTGAGGACGCATGGTAAAGTGTACAGCAACACGACAGGGGCCTCAAAAGCCGGCTTCGGTGACGGTCTTACTTTCAATACAGAAGAAGGCGGGCTGAGCTTACCAATGTAGTTGTCCTTTAGTCCGGTGCTGTCTTGAACAGCTTGAGCGATGCTATCGAGATACACGGCATAGTCTGTAGAGTATTGGGTAGGCGTCTCATCAACGAAGACACCACTCAGAGCCAGTGAGGAATCATATTCGCCCCAGAATGAAAACGCAGCAATGTCATCCAGCACAGAGCTCAAGTCCCTGGTACACCACGTGGTTGCCACATAGCCGATAGTGCGTACATTACTGAGCGAGTTGAGGGCCTCGATGGCTGCGGTGTATTCTGCGTTTGGTAGTGCACCCTCTCCTGGCCCGTTATGCACGTTTACCACGACCGTAAAGTGTATGCGGGGGAATGATGATGCCCTGAAAGCAGTACATGGCGTTAGTCCCGGTATAATGAGTAGCGACAATAGTAGAGGTACCGTATCGTACACATCGTGAAACGGATCCCACACGCCTGCTGAGGGGTAGACGTAGAGCGGAACAATTACGGAGCTGAGTCCGTCCATGACTCTGCTTTGAGCACGGTAGGCTAGGAGCCGATGACGAGACGCTGGCCCAAACGGAGATGAGCCGATAGAGAGTAAGATCTGGAGAAACACAGCTTACGGATACTGACGAACGCAAATGTGTAATGGATATCCTTATGGTGTGTTCGGGCACCAAGACGCTGACAGATGCCGGGAGATCGAGTAGTCGAACGAAGCCTCGCAGTATGCCCACGTTGAATCTCTGACGGCCCAGATGATGGTATTTTGAGAAATTAGAGGACGCGGCAATGCAACCACACGGGTACGTATTGCGCACTTGGCTATGCAGATTGGACAGGGATCGTTAGCGATGCGAGAGTATATTTTGAGAGTGCTAGACCTGAGGAGACTCCGAAACTGATGAGTCGGGATGAAGAGGCCGCATTATGCCAAGCAATGTAAACAATATTGACGGCGCAGGAAAAGTCTGACTTCGATGTCTTCTGCCTAATTGATCGTGATTTGAGGCTGTTGTTGAGAGTTGTGGCGCGTATAAAGAATTTCGGACGTATCGAGAAAGGTAGCGCCGTAACAATCAACGCACTCGCTCTTCTTCCATACATTCGTTCATTGGCCAAGCATAATTGTGCAAGATGTCGTCATCCTCTTCGACGTACTCGCTATCGCCCTCCGTCACACCGGAGGTACTCAATACACCTGGAACACAGCGATCAGTGCTATTCGACGACGATGTAGTAGCGGATCCTCTGAACATCGATGGATCCACGTCGACCTTCATCATGGTCGTCGGTGGGCTGGGATACATCGGCTCGCACACAGTATTGGAGTTGCTCAAAGAAGGCTACAACGTGCTGGTCATCGACGACTTGAGTAACTCATACGAAACCGTCCTGAATAGGGTGCGAGGTCTTGCGATTGACTTCTGCACGGCGCATGGGCGACGAATGCCAGCGTTGCAATTCCGTCAGCTGGATTACAGGAGTGCACACATGAAGACTGTACTGGCCAGCTATTCATCGTATTCGATCATCAGCAAGCCAGCGCCCACTCCAGCACGATTCCCATACTCGACTTTGCAGAGAACAGACTCCGGTATCGACATGGATATGGATGACGCCCAAGAACCCGTCGTTGAAAGACTGTCCAGAATATCCGGCGTTATCCATTTTGCGGCGTACAAGTCGGTCGAAGAGAGCATACGGATGCCCTTGCGATACTACAGCAACAACGTCTGCGGGTTGGTTGACTTTCTGGGATTGCTGGAGGAGTTCGGCATCAAGAACTTCGTGTTCTCCTCTTCTGCAACAGTTTATGGCGAAGGCGCAAATTGTGGGCTACCTCTGCGTGAAGAGCTGTGCGTGCATCACCCAGAATCGTTCGTGGATAGCGATGGAGCGGAACGCCGAGTTCTGCCGGGCGTTCTGGGCCTAACATCACCTTATGGTCGGTCCAAGTTCATGTGCGAATCCATCCTGGCAGACCTGGCGCTTTCCGACCCCACATGGTCCATAACCGCCCTTCGGTACTTCAACCCGGTATGTACATTCGATGGTTAGGATGTATTGTAAGCCCGTCTAACATTTCCAGGTCGGTTGCCACGAGTCTGGCGTTCTGGGTGAAGATCCTAGACAGAAACCGAGCAATCTGATTCCAGTTATCGCAACAGTCCTGACAGGGACGAAGCCAGTGCTCGACATCTTCGGCACGGATTGGAACACCCCAGACGGCACGGCAGTGCGGGACTTCATCCATGTCGTCGATCTGGCTCGGGGCCATATCGCGGCTTTGGCAGCTTCGACGGCTGGTCGTACTATAGCGCCATTTCGCACGTACAACCTTGGTAAGTGGAGGCCTTAAGAGAACGTCTCACACTAAGGTCTGTGTACTGACTTCGACTCAGGTACGGGACGAGGACACACTGTCCGTGAGGTACTCCAGAGTTTAGAGGACGCATCCCAACGGAAGATCCCCGTCAGGGAAGTCGGCCGCAGGGCTGGAGATGTTGGCTTTTGCGTGGCGGAGGTGCGACGAGCGGAGACCGAGCTGCAGTGGAAGGCTGAGAGGTCCTTGAATGACTGTTCCGGGGATGTATGGAACTTCACTAAAGCTAGGTGTGTAGAGTCGTAGACAAAGGGCGTGCTGAGTGGCCCTGCACGGTTTCCTTCATCATCCTTTCCCTGCATATCCTAGCATCAGCGGCATTTCTTCTCTTGTAAGTAGCAAGATAGATCATGGATGGTTAGCTCGCAGTGCTCGAGCATTTCGTGGACTCGAATTTAATACCCAATTTCCCATGAATTCTCACTGAACGACCAATGCGAGCTTGATCAGTGCCCGCTTTCATTGTCGCGTAAAGTAGCTGCATGGCTGATAGTTTCCAGGACGTCGTAGCCAGATCACGGAAATGAGCGAGACCTAGTAACGAGCGAAACCTAGTGGAGAGTCGACGAGGCTTAGAGGCAACGCGCAGGTACGCCTCCTTTCATATGCGTTCAGCGCCTAGACAGCCCAATCTTGGCCAATCGAGACGAATTCTGGATTGCTTTTTGGCGTCGTGTGGGTGGGTTCATCGCTGGTATCAGATAAGGCTGTGGCAGCATAGAGAGCCAAGGCCAGGCTGCATCGAGCCGAAATCTTAGAGGTACACTGTGCTGCTACGTCGCAGGCGCGGTACCATTTCCGTGACTAAGACAGTCCAATGGAACGTGTAAGAGCATGTGGCGAGGCGACTACTTCAGCTGGCTCGCTACACTCAACCCTTTCCGCCGAACGTGCGCAGAACCACTAACCCCACGATAAAATGGCAAAAGCGAAGGCGGAATCCAGGCTAGCGATACGGCGGTGACGGGAATGCGCGCAAACGGCCCAGTAATGGACGACGGCAGTGCCGTGGAGACAGCTCGTTAGTTCCGATTCGCCAACTGTGCGTTTCAGTCCCGGCCGGCTTGCGTTGAAGCGGTACAAGCGAAGTACAGGCGACGGCAGGATCCAACGGTGCGTCAAAGGGCAACGGGGCAGGCCGGCCAGGTCGACGGTACGATGGAGTTGCACAGAAGATGCTGTCCTGAGCTGAATGGGGCGACGATCACATAGGGGCCGACAACAAAGAGGCTGAGGCTCTCCTTGCGTCCTGCGGTTGGCGTCTTGAGTTGGGCGGAGACGGCCGATTGGGTGCAAGATGGAAGGAGGCTTCGGAAGCTTTTGGCGATTTCAGCGCTAGGCCGAGTAGACGGGCGTCACGTGCCGGGTCAACAGTACTAGCAGCCCGCACCCGTTGCAACCTCAACGTCTCTACCTACGCACAGTCGCAAAGCCCACGCCGACCTGGATACCGTGGATTCTGAATCGCCTGCGCGTAGACCGTTCTGTTGCGATGCCTCCCTCTGCCATGGCGATGCCGGGGCAACACATGAACGGCGCTCCTTCGAACATCTCGGCTGGCGTAGATCCCACTTACTGGGGCGGCCACCAGGACTTCTCACCGGACTCCACATCGCCATTGTCGCCCTCGCTAGGGCTCCATCTGTCGCCGACACAGAGTATCACCACCCAGAGCAGCATCAATGGCGGAACTCCCCCGGCGCAAACGCCCCAGTCGGACAGCGGCGGCAGCAAGGGAACCGGCCAGAAGAACAGCCAGAAGCAGTCAAATAACGACCAGACCAGAGCCTCGGTCGCTGTCGCGTGCGTCCCATGTCGCAGTAGACACTTGAAATGCGACGGTGGTGTGCGATGTTCCCGATGTAGGACCGACAACGTGGAATGTACCTACATCAAGTCGCGAAGAGGCTGGAAGGGCAAGCGGAAAACCAAGGACGACACGGGCGCGTCCACGACCCCGAATGGTGGGTATATCGCAACGACGACAATATCAACCCAAAATCTAACGTGATTAGGAATATCTGCATCTGAAGTCCAAGCCAGCAATGGCCACGTCTCGTCACCTGAGTACTCGTACAACGGCGATGCTGGCATGAACCAGCTCAGCCCAACTCACGGTCTTGGCGTCCGACCTGTAGCCCCACCAGTTGCTCAACTCAACCTAAATGGATCCGCGCGTCTGAACCGATTTGGCCACTTGGGACCCGAGACGGCTGTCCAGGCCTTCTACCACTTCTTCTACAACTCACATCCATTCTGCCTTCCGGAACGGAGGCTAGTGGAACTCTTCAAGGAACGACATGCCCCACTCTTGGAACATGCCGTGCATTTTATCGGATCCAGCTACATACCGTCGGTGCCTACGGCTATGTACAAGGAAGCGTTAGATCGCCAGATAGACAGCAACAACTACCCAAGAGATGCGTGGTCGGTCCAAGCCCTGCTCCTCTTCGCCATCGGCCTCCACGCCCACAACGAAGTTCCCCGCGCCGCCCAGATCTTCACCATAGCCCAAAACCTGACGCTGGAGATCGGGCTCAACCGGATGGAATTCGCGCTGATGCATGGAGAAAACGACCCGCAGCTGGAAGAAAGCTGGCGGAGAACGTGGTGGTCCATGTTCACGGCCAACGGCATGATGACAGCCGTCAACCCCGGCGTGCAATTCCGACTGAAAGACGTCGTAACCGACGTGCCACTGCCCTGTGAGAACGTCGAGTACTTTTCAGGTGTAAGTACCCACTCCCCTGACATCAGATCTGACATGTGTCAAATCGGCTTGGCATGTTTCCCTTCTTAGTGCGAACCCGTGCCGCTCTTAGGTACTCCCAGATGAGATCATCTGACTGCATGTCATACTCCGATGGGATGGGAGATCGATGCATGTCATACATGTGGGGTGGGGGTCCTGCCGATTGCATGACCATCCTCCTGGGACTACAAACACAAAACCTTATACAGATCACTAAACTAACAAACACAACAGCAAATACCCTACCCCTCCACCCTCTCCGACTACGACGACTCGGCCTTCCTCCCCCACTTCACAACCTTCTCCTCCTTCACCTATCTCATCGACGCCATCCGCATCCTAGGAAAAGTCTTCGAATGCGCGCGTCTAGACTCCACCTTTGAATACCACGCCGTCGACGTCGTAGACCAATACCTGTGTAACTGGCGTCTGCACCTCCCGGCCTCAAAAACAGACATCGTCTCCAACGACGGCCACATCGACGAAGTGCTGTTCCAGGCACACATGGTAAACGCCGGCAGCACAATAATGCTGCACCGCCCGCGCAGCAACCTCGGTTTCGGCCGCGTCGAAGGCGTAAACATATGCGTCCAACCGGGCCAAGTCCTGCTTCCCACGCAAACCCGCGAAATCCACACCGCGAAATGCCTTACCTCCGCTGAAAACATCTCCTCCTTAATCCGTCTGCCCGGACCCCTGCTTTACCACACCCCCTTCTTCACCTGCGTCGTCGTAATGGCGTCCGTCGTGCACCTCTCCTACTGGTCCTTCCTTGTCCCCGACGGCCAGGACGACATTATCAAGCAGAGCATCCGGCTCGATGTTGGCACGCTGCAGCAATACAGCAATACGTGGCCGATTGCGAATGTGGTGTTGGGGCAGGTGAGGGGGGTGGCGCACACGCTGTTCAATAGTAAGAAGGCGATGAGTATACATCTCTGGAGCAATTTGCAGCAGGATGATGTTATTAGGGGCGTTATTGAGGAGGGGAGGAGTGTGCCGCAGCAGCAGTATGCGCAGTTGATCGCTCCGTGAGTACTTCCCTTTCTTTTCTACACTTGCTTGCTGTGTGTGGATTTGGGCTAACATTATCGCAGGATGCTGAAATCGTAGACGTAACTTTTCGTCTTGTCGCTTTCGATTTTGTCTCGCATCGTCCTTGTTTACTTGCGCGTTGTAATCATTTCATGTCTTTGTTGTCTCCGTCGCGCGCGTCAAAAACGGTCGTGTCATGACCATAGCGAGCGAGCGAGCGAGCCTTCTACTTGTCAATTTTCCGGTCGTCGCCTTGATTCGCTATTATGCGACTCTGCTTGTCCGTATTATGAGCATACTGACACCACGCGTCATTTCTTCTACCTTGTCTGGGCGGTGGGCGGCGCATTCCATTGAAAAGTCCGAGCAAGCGGAGTTGGAATATAATGAAGATACGAAATGTGCTGTTGTAGTAGTAGTCGCAACGCCCTTGTGCGTGTTAATAGTAGAATCGAAAAGCTTTCTCCATCACATTCTGAATGTTCTGGTTGATCAGGAACAGTCTATTGTTCATTCATCGAAACGCCGGCTAGTCCAGCGCTTCCTGTCGGATACTTCCGCCAGTCCTCCTCCGCATGCCCCGTTTTCGCCAAGAATGTCCTCAATTCTCGAGCTGCATATCCGTTGTCCCATTCCACTAAATCTCGTCCATGTCGTATACCCATTAGAGCCCTAGCCGTGGCCTAGAGCAAGCTCATGACCGTATCTACAAATCGGCGTCGTCCTCATCGGGCAGAGGCATCTGGGCGGCGTTCTCCATCTCCTGTCGGTACTGGTCGAGAACGGCCTGGTCGACCTGGACCTCGGGAGGCGCCAGAGCGGGGGCGGCGACAAAGTCGAGAGACTGGTTGCCGACGAGTTTCCGGGCGAGCCAGAGGAAGGGCTTCTCGAAGTTGTAGTTGGACTTGGCGGAGATGTCGTAGTACTGGAGGTTCTTCTTTCGGTGGAAGGTGATGGACTTTGCCTTGACCTTGCGCTCCTTGACGTCTACCTTGTTACCGGTGAGGACGATGGGGATGTTCTCGCAGACACGGACCAAGTCACCTGGGGCTGTTAGCGAATGCGTATCGGGGGGTTGTGGGCGCACGTACGGTGCCAGTTGGGGACGTTCTTGTATGTGATACGCGAGGTGACGTCAAACATGATGATACCGCACTGTCCGTTGATGTAGTACCCATCGCGGAGACCACCGAACTTCTCCTGACCAGCGGTGTCCCAGACGTCGAACTGGATCTGGCCGAGGTTCTGTCGTCTCGTTAGCAGGCGTGTCGCAGGCGGCAGAGGGTCGGATAACGTACTGTGGTGAAGCCGAGGGGGTGGACCTCTACTCCGAGCGTCGCGATATACTTCTTCTCGAACTCTCCGGTCAAATGGCGCTTGACGAAGGTCGTCTGTGGTGGGGCTGTTAGCAACCTGCATCGCAGTCTCAAATTCTCGCAGTCTCGCAGTCGCGCGGCCGTCTCAATAGCCGGGCTGCTATCGCGAAACGGCTCCCAAGGGGCGTCATACCTTTCCGGTACCACCGTCACCGACAAGCACGAGCTTGAAGGTAGGGACTGAGCTTGCGGCAGTCTCGGCCATGGTGTCGGGTGTTGTGGCGGGGTGATGTGGTGTGTGAGGGGGGTAGTGGGCAGAGTCTGTTATCGAAAAGATGTCAGTCGGGGTCGCACAGGGTTATTGAGCAAAAGACGGTGGTGCAGACTCACGGGTGATAAAGAGTGGGGAAAGTAGCGGGCGTGAGGTGGGCAAGAAGAGGTTTTGTTGTGCTGAAGTGTTGGCGCCCCGGGCGGTGTAAATCTCTTGGCGCCTTCCGCAATTTTGACCTCGCAGGCAGGCAGGCAGAGGCAGAGGCAGAGGCAGAGGCAGCGTTAGGCAGCTATAGGCTTCTTTGTCTCAACAGCCCGGGTTTACCTTGCGCCTTTGTAGTCATAGATTGTGATTTACTAGCAATTCCTTACTGTTTCATCCCAAAGCAAACAACGCCGGGTATCATGCTATGCTTGTTGGCCAAACCGAGTGCGCCACGCGCGCTGCCGCCTGCCTTGCCTGCCACCCATCCACTCGACGTATCTCCTAGCTCGACGTATCTCGTGATCTATAATACACTACATGGGCAGCAAGTGACAGCCCAACAGCCCCCTTCCGCCCCAGTTCCTCCGCGGTGTGAGTTGCATCTCAACTGTCTCTGCCGGGCCGCCCGATGGGTTGGGTCGCAGCGCCTTGACGGTAATGGGAATCTGCACTTGTCAGCCTGCTGCACGCCCGACTGAAGACAGCATCCTGTGCAGCGTGATGCGACGTACCCCTTCGTTCTGCGACACGGCCTCGGCCACGCGCGACAGGTTCTCGTGGTTTGTCCAGTCCACCCAGCCGAACTTGGTTATGGTGTCGTACACCTGTAAGCCGGCCGTCGCTGCTGGGCTGTCTGCCACGACGCTGTTGACCTTTGCAAAGGGCGCTTCGAGTGCGGCAGGCGGTGCGCTCAGCCCTGCCTGGGCGCCGTTGGCGGTTGTCGCGTCGCTCGCCTGCGCTGCCAGCCGCGCGTGGTGCTCGTGGAGGCCCTTCTCGATGCGTGACATGAGGTCTTTGTAGTCATTCTTCAGCCGTATGATGCGCGCGCGCGTGGTTCGGACTGCGACGGTCAGCGACCCTGAGTGAACTCGAAGATCACCGCTCCTTACTCTGGGGGACATCGATATCACTGCGTGGAAAGCCGTCCAGAGTGGTCAGGCCGGTGCTCATGCGGACGCCATGCTACAACAAGACGTCAACTGCTTATCCCGCCCATAGCCCTGATTTGCGTACCGAATCCAGCACCTGCCCTAATGCCTTCAACTCTGTCTCTACTCGGTCCTTCTCGGCCATGAGCTCCTGCAGCGTCAGCTGCTCTTTTGGTATGCCATTGGAGTAGCCTGCCGACGTGGGCCCAGACGAGACGGTTGGCGCGTGTATATCATCCATGGTGTGGAATGTTTGTCGCCGCCGCAGAGTTGAGTGCGTGAATGCTTACTACAGTTGGAGCTTGGATGTGGGGGTGGGAGCTTGAGGGAGCTTGAACTGTGCGGGGCAAAACCGCCAGGACGGTCGCCTTCCTTTTTCCTCCCTCACTTCTCTACCAAACTTCACTATCCCAAGCACACGCGCGTGACCTCTGTGCGTGCCAAACTAGGTGTATGCTTCAGCTGCATAGTATGCTCAGTCTTGCAATGGCTCGGGTCGGCTACCGACATTCTTGTTCTGCCGTCATGGTGAGTCGCGACTACCAAGATTTGGTGAGAGCAACGCGGCCGCCATGTTAGCGGTCCTGGTCGATGGCTCACCACTCGCCCCTAACGAATAGCCTGTGTAGAATGCGCTTTACTGCGCGCCGTCTGGACCCTTTCCCTTAGATGCCGCCATTACGCTCTTGAGAACTTTGCGCCTCTGCGCTTTCCTCCCGTCCTAGCCAGTAGTCATATCCAAAATGCCTCAGCCAACTTCCTTATCGCTCTGCAGCTCACTTGTCTCTCCTTAAGCCATCGTCGTTGGATGCAGTAGTATTTATCTCATGCGCTGAAAGCCTTCGTACCCGTCCTATTCAGTGTCGACCGTACGACCACGGACATGGCATATGTGTTGTCGCTGCGGCCTCAGAGCCCACTCAAGCGGTCCTTCAGCGACAATCCATACCTCAACTCCTGCTCCCCTCAGAAAGACACACTACTGGCACCCCTGAGCGACATTACTGCTCGCAATGCTTCCGCGTGCTCGTTGTATTCCCTCGGGGCGACTAGGGCAGGCGACTGGTCTCGGAGCAACGAGAACACACCACCACTTACCTCTCAGTCGCTCCTCGATCTCGTGCCCGAGAAAGGAGGCTTCCCATTCAGTACCAGACATGTCATCGAAGAGCCACGCAAGCGGAACTGTGGCCCAGATCGGCCACCGCCATCTTTCTCGAGACTCACAGTCCCACCGAGGCCGCATGCGAGAGGATATCACCATTCGCAGCGGATAGAGGAGCCCTGCTCTGACAGCGACAGCTCGGCTGATGACATGGACATTGACGACCACGACTTCGAAGAGACACATTTGTTCAATCTATACGAAGCCATACACGTGCCATTGCCAGAAGGTCGCTTCACCGATAATGACGGAGATGAGCCGCGCGAAGACTACGAAGAAGCGCCTGCGACTATCTCTGTATCTTCACAGCCCTTTCGGCGGTGGATGAGCACTTTGAGGCGTCGACACGCGCACAGGTGGAGGGATAACGTCGCTGAGATACCACGGCTATCCTTCGACACCGCTGATGGCATGTCTGTCCTCTCTCGACCGCTGGGAAGGCTGTCTGAATCTGTGCGCAGGACATCGGAGTCTATGACATCGTCAATGGGCTATGTGACAGCAATGAAGTCGACTTCGATGACCATCGGCAGCGCGAGCATTGCACCACGCTCAGAAGCTGGAGGACCAGGGAAGGTTCGCTTGGGTAACAGAAGCAGCAATTACTCCGAAGCGCGCAGATCACTCGAGAGTCATCGTGGTGCGCTAGGGCCTGTGCTTGATGAGAGCGCGTGGCTTCGATCACTCCAGCGCCGCAAGGTTGTTGAGGAGCTGATCTCTTCGGAAGAGAGCTACATTGCAGACCTCAAGGTCTTGATCAACGTATGTTACCTACCACCGGGTTGCCTCTACCATTCTAATCTAAGCAGGACTATTTCATGATCCTTACTGCCCTTCCTACTCTGTCAGGCCAGACACGATCATCCATACAACAGAATATCTCCCAGATTCTACAGCTTCACGAAGACTTGCTCGCCGAACTTCATCAGGTTGTACCTCAGGCAGACTTCACCAGAAGCGCGTACCAAGAGACGTATCCTGTGACAAAAGCCAAACATATTCGCTTTCATAGCGCCGACATCGTGCCGGGGCGCTTTGCCGAACACAAGACTGCCAGGAGGCTGAGGCATTCTTTGGAGATTGGACGATCGCCAGACCGCAGACCGCGAGGCCTAGTAACGGACACGCAGACCGCCGGGAACATTGCCAAGATCTTCAACAAACATGTAAGCTATACGCGACTCTTACAATATGCTTCGCTAACAAAATCAGATGAAACGCTTCTTCACATACGAGGAGTACGGCGCGCATTGGACGACCATGTCGCAAGATCTCACCACCATGTGCAAAGGACTGCATGGCTGGCAAGAATACGAGCGCGGTGTCGAAGCGCTGCAGAAAGTGGTCGCGTCGGAGAACAACCGAGAAGCAGGTAGCAAGAAGGCGCTCAGCTTCCCTGATCTTTTGATAAAGCCGATTCAGAGGGTATGCAAGTACCCTCTACTGTTCGACGACCTGTGCCGCCACACGCCCGTCTACGACGATCCAGAAGCGCATGCCGAACTGGAGAAAGCTCTTTTTCGGCTGCAAGAGACTATCCGCGAGGTCAACAAGGCAAAAGACGACCCTCAAACCCGGCGACTCATTGAGATTACATGGCAGCTGCAAGATCGACTAGCATTTTCAGAGCAGAAGATTTCTCGAGCTCTTGTCTTTCGCCTTCTCGGGCATGTTCTCCTATGTGGCGCTCTACATGTGACATATCAAACAACCGATCGTATCAAGGGTGCGTACATGGTTTGCGTTTTGTACAAGTCATGCCTTGTACTCGCAACAGCAAGCCGGTTCCATACGCCATATACCGTCGTCGCTTCGATCGGGCTTGCCAACGCCAGCATTGAGGAATGTGATAACGGCCGCGGCATACAGTGCCATACTGCTCCACATACGTGGAAATTCGTCTTCGAGCATGGCCATCGCTTACACGAACTCATCTTCAGCGCCTGCACTTCTCACGAAGAGGAGGTTTGGAAAAAGCAGCTGCGCGAGCGTATTGTTTATGAGACACACGATTTCGTCGAAGGCCAGTCTACCATGCAGGACATGTATACATCCCTATCGCTAGGCCTCAAGTCTCTTGGGCCTGTCTTCGGTCATGCGAATACTCTAGTACGACGCATGTCAGTCCATCGAGCTGCGACTCTCGGTGCGAAGACCAACACGAGTCAAGTCATTATCAAGAACACCCAGGCACAAAAGCTACCCGATACGCCTCCGACGTTTTCGCCAAGTATAGTAACTCGATCTCAATCGCACCTCTCCGCAAATCACATCCCTATACTTGCCCCGCGACGAGCTGAGCGCGTACGTCTCGAGAGTACTTTGGAAGACGTATGGACAAAAGACATGTTGCCCTTTCCGGGCATGTCAAATCGGAGGATGGAGAACCAAATCAGAGCTTCAGCAAACTCAGTTATGCGAAAGCTAAGCATAGCAAGCATAGCAAGCAATTTCTCGCGTCGTTCGCCCAGCCTTTCCAACACGAGCAACACGCGGTCAGAAGACTCCTTCGGAAGCCGCGTTCATAAGATGTCGAACGGGAACCTGCGAGCTCAATCAGCGACTGATCGAAGGCCGACCCCTGCACTTGTCGACTTCCATTCCGCACCCGCTGCGTTCCTACCTGAGGACTTTGAGGTCGAAGACACACGACCTTCGAGTAGACGCCGCCGTCTTGCCAATCGAGCGATAGGCGTAGAGCGTCCAACCGATAAGCCACTACAGAGCAAGCCGAAGAAAGTTCGACGTCTCTCCACGCACCTGATCAGTCTGCCACGGTCAGAATCACGCGCCCGCGTCGCTGAGAGAACCGTCTCCCACGCATCAACAGCAACCACAGTACGCGCACCACCTCCCTGCGCCGAGGTAACCAAAAACATAGAGAACAGGAAGCAGCGACGGCAAGAAGAGCCCACTCCCGAATCCCGGCCTGCATCTTCAAACCACTCAACCTCGAACAAGTTTTCGAAGAGCAAGAGTAGGATCTTTAATTTCTTCCGATGATCCAACACACATATCCTGTTGGACCAACATTACATACCAGCTGGACACGCATTTGGTGTCCACCAAAACGCAACGTACATACTTCCCTTGACGACGTAACGACCACACTATCCTTGCTCCAACAGCAAGTACGAGAACATGAATACCACGACTGAGACGACGGCGACGGCAACAAATCCGATAACCAGGGGCCAGTGTAACAAACATAATGATTAATCATGCGATCAGCAGAGCGTTACTGCAAGGTACACCCGCTCTCTCTCACGATCTGGGCAGCCACCGTTGATGGTGGGCTGGTTGAAAGTCTGGGGGATCGGGAACTCGGCATGACGTCATGTGACTAGCGCGCTTTTTGGGACATGGACACGTACGTACTGGTACCTGGGCACGCGATCGCATGATGGAGGGGCGGCGTTGGTTTGCAATGGGATCACAGTATTTGGATAGTAATGATTGAGTCATGGTTATACGTTTTTAACAATTACTTGAGTGAGATGTGTGTTGGGCATTCGCTCATGCCTGACATTCTTTAGTGCTGGAGTTGGATACATTGCATATTCAGCCTCATGGCAAAGCAGAGAGAAGCCAGCATGCAACTCCGGCCTGCATCCCTGCCATGCCGTTTCAGCCCAAAGAGCCTCAATGCAAAATGCAAAACAAGGCGTGAGAGCTTGCGTGCGCAATTACCATGCCAGGTGGGAGTGCGTAGAGTACCCTTGGCAATGACGTAGCCGCCCACCCGGTCAAAGCTCCAGATCACGTAGCTCTAAATAGCCCCTCTAAAGCTTCCCCTCCATTCCCTCACGTCACCAAATACCCCCATTCCAACTCATCTACACACTCTACTTTACCCTCAAACCACTCAAACCAACCTCCATATACCCAAACGAACCGAAACCAACGAGTTAATCACACAAAAATGGCCCGCGGCAACTCCCCCCAAACCCAAGTCTTCTACAAGGGCAGCTCCGGCGACCAATTCTGCATCTTCGTCGAGAGCGTAGAGGAGCTTCAGAAGTGGAAGGCCGATAGCACGATTCCCATGGTCGATGTTGTGGCTGGGTGGAAGGTGCTCGTCCCCGAACACGGCAAGCAAGGTGTCCTCAACACGGCTAGCAAGCAGCAGCTTGAGAACGAGTTTGGTAAAGATGCCAAGGAGGATGATATCTTCAAGAAGATTCTGCAGGAGGGTAGTGTGCAGAGCTCTGAGGTATGTTTGTCCTTGCTGTGTTTACCCCGCGGATGCTGGTGAAGACGGTTGCTAATGTGTGTGTGTGATGGATAGAACGCGGAGCGCATCGGTATCACCAACGAGACCCAGGGCGGACGTCAAGCTCACTAAACGCTTCGTTGCTGCTTCGGCTTCAGCGTCAGCGTCAGCGTCGACATGAACGACGAACGATTTCTTTCGATATGATATCATGATTTAAGGAAGAGCGTAGGGTGGGATAGCCCAGCACGTAATACTGCTGGCTTGCAAGGAGGGCAAGGCATAAACAGCCTTGCCTGCATCCTGCATGTTTGATAGGCATCATGAATGAGATGAAAACCTACAATACCGTCGGGCTTGAAGTCGAATGTGTGACGTGATGCTGCCTCCTCTGTGATGTGAGTGCGGCTGTGTGTGAGTGGTGTGTAGGTGCTGGCTGTCCATGATCTACAACTGCACCTTGATGGACTTGAGCTGATAGCCCCATAACTATCATGCTTACACCTCCGCCAACCGGACTATTGATCTTGTTGAATGGGCTTTGTAGTAGCTGCGACTATGCTTTCCTGCCATCTTTGCCGTTGCTCGTCTTCGATGTATTCTTTCCTTTAGAATTGTAAGATCGGTCGATTGGAAAGTTGCACTTCGACGCGTATAGCGAGTCGATGGGGTATACGGCGCTCGTGGTATAGGGTGGCTGTGGCATCGGCCAGGAAGTGAGGTTGAAGGAGAGAAGGAGTGTGTCGGTGGTTGCGGTGTGGTGGCAGGATGAGATGGTAGGTATGCGCGGCAATCTTCGTCATTGAAGATCTAGGTAGAGCATGTTGCCAGTAACGGTCCTTTTCCGCTTCTCCCAAATCTGACGTTTCGATGGGCAGATAGTGATTGTAAGGCAGGAAAACAGGTCTAGCGACTACATCAAGGTGACTAATGGCAGAGTTAGTGACTTGACGTCGATGTAGCCTCCAGGGCGTTCAGGTCTTTCCTAGGGTGACGTGGGAGGAAGTTTGTCGATATTGTAGTACGATGAAGACCACAATGCGTATCTAGGTATCTTGCAATGCAATGATGCTCTCCAATGGTCACAAGCTTTTACAGATGCAGTTCCTGATAGGTAATCTAGTACAGATGCCGACCCTGCACCGGCTATTGATTGCCTAGCGCAGCACGACCATCTATCACTAATCCGTGAAGCGACCGAATACGGGAGGCAAAGTGTCTTGGTGGAGTCGCGCGCCGAATGTTGCAGCACTAACGAGTCTTCTAAAGAACACGAAGGACCGATGGAAGGTGAGGTTGTGCCGAGGTTGAGCCTACTATATCCTCCTCGCTCTTTCAAAAAAGATCCTTTGACATTTGGCATTTGGTTGATGGGATGCCGTGTGACCTGTCAACTTGGAAATGAATGCACTGCCTCGTGCAATGTTGTGCGCAGGACCAACATCTTGGGTTACACAAAACGTCTACTTGCAACAACAATGCGCTCCCCAGGAAGATGACAGCGTAAGGCCCGGTAGATCGACAACACCTGCATACTTTAATAAAGCCAACAGTGCCGCGCCGAACATTCCGATGCCACAAATACGAAGTCCGCGCGAAGCCACCAGAGAAAAGGGTGTGCATGAAGTCGCAGTCCTGACGCAGGGCAAGCACGCCGTCTCTGAACGGTGTCGCAAGGCTGAGAGACCACCTGCATGTTTGGCGTGGACACCGTATTTAGAATTTTAGATTCTTCCGCTTGCAACATCGACCTCGGGACCTTTCCCCCGTGCAACAGGACAAGACTACCAGGCACGTCATCCGCATAGCTCAAACACCACCATCCGCCGTGATACGAAGCGCTCATTACCGACTATTGGTCGATCCCACCGCCTTCGCTGTCATGGAAGCGAGGTAGACACGGGATATTAATCATGTTTTTGCTGTGTGGAATAGGAGCCGCGGAGGAGACAATGACGGGACGGTGTGGTTCAACATGCGACGCTCTGAAGCGAGACATGGCAATTGGGTACAAAGCGCATACGTCCTACGACACCTGTCTAATATAAGAGACGGATATCCGCAGGGTTGGTGAGAGAACAGCGAACAGTTGTAGCGCACGAGGGCAGGGAAAGCCGGTTTTCAGTCTTGAATCATGCGAGCGAGCGTGCGAGTGTCCGCGACGGTCGAAATGGCGGGCGGCGATCGCTCGTATCGCATCGCAGAGCGGCAGGTAGAGTAGGTCACTCCTGCGCAGCAACAGTCGCAGTAGGTGTTCACTCTGCGGGCTCCAACAGCTTGCGCATACCAAACTACGCACATTCAAAGCACACGCGTTAGTTTTACTCTGCCTCAGCCACAAACATCACATCGCCGCATGGGATCGCCGCGCCTGGTACCACCTCGCATCGCAACCTTTTTTGCCGGGCGCACGCTGCTGATACGAGGACGAGGGCGGCCGCTCGGGCCTTGTGCAAGGAACGTGAGCGCCGCTGCATGGGTGTTGTGATGGTGATGGTATTTTCCGATGACCTCACCGTGACCCGCCCAGCCTCTCGGTAACTAAACGAACGGACTGCGAGCAACCGAGGGGGGCGTGACTGTGGAGACTGTAGTTTAATTGGATCGAATGGGGTAAAGTTTGCTTGGGTGGGTGCTTCGTTCGGTGTATATCCAGGATGAGCGAGACTGGGGTTGGAGGCAAACGGGCGTGCGATCATCGTGCAGTGTCTTTCTCCCTTGTCTTGTGTCTTTGAGTTTGTCGGCTGGCACCTGCTTGCTTTCTACACTCTCGATTCTTTCGGGACTTTTTGCTCGCTTCGCTCTCTCACCTTCACCTGCTCCACTATCGTCGTAGCTGGAGTTACGATCTTGACACCGACTGCAAGGATTGATTGAGCTTTTCTGGTATCGCCTTTTCACCGAGCAAGGGACCCTTCTGGTACACGCGCATTATGCCTACTCTCAGGTGGATGCGCGCTGCTGCTGTTGTTGCTCTTGCGACACACGCTATTGCTCAGAAATGCTGTAAGACCTACTTGACCTCATCGCCGAGCAACAACTAATCGAACAGACTACCCCAACGGCGAAGAGGCGGCAAAATCAGAAAAGCCCTGCTCGTCAGTAGAGGGTTCTGCTTGCTGTCCTGATACCTGGGAATGCTTGGACAATGGTCTCTGCCATTTACCGGCCGGCAACCTGTACGGCAGATACAGCTGTACGGACAAGGACTGGAAAGCAGAAGGCTGTGCCTCGAACATGTGCACAATCAGTAACGGCGGTAAGTACCTCAAATTCTCCAATTGATCATTGCTAAGATCCAGCAGATGTGAAAGCTGTTGGAGGCGAGTCGATCACACAATGCAAGGACCACGATGACCAGTGGTGCTGCAACGCAGACGCTGTAAACGTAAATTGCTGCAAGGAATCACCATCGCCACGACCCTTCTTCGCGCTGCAGGATGGAAAGGCGTATGCGACCATTGGCCAAAATCAAGCTTCGACTGCTCCTAACCTTGCGACTATCACCGGTCTGGCGCAGAGCGGCGGTGGATCAGGAGGAGGAAACCAAGCATCGAAGACGACAGCAGGAGGGTCTTCAGGTTCTCCCTCTACCGACGCTCCCAACTCCGGTTCAGCTACTGCAACGGCCGATGACGCCGCGACCACGCCCTTCAGTTCCGTCATTCAAAGCCTCTCCACCAGCGCCGGCGGCGGCGTCGTCACAATCCAAAACACCGTCCTCGTAACCCCCACCCCAACGGCCGGCTCCAGCTCCTCCAACAACGACTCCTCCTCCTCCTCCTCCGGCGGCTCAAAATCCAACCTCGGCCTCATAATCGGCTGCGCAGTCGGCATCCCCCTCGCCCTCGCCCTCGTCGGCATAATCTTCTGGCTCCTCCGCAAGCGCCGCCAACAAAAAGCAAACCCCTACCACGACCCTTCCTCCGAAGTCGAAGGCGATAGTCCTCTTGTTGGTGCTGCTGCTGCTGGAAAACTCAACAAGAGCAAGAAAGAAACCTACCGCAACTCGCGTCCCGCGACCGCGGAAATCGACGGGAACCCAATTGGCGCGGGGCGCGCAAATCGCGTGTCTGAATTACCGTCTGGAAACGGGTTTCAACCGGGTCATCAGGGCACACCTTACGGACCCGACGTTGTTGGAATCGGAGGCGGAAACGGAGATCCGAATAGGACGACTTGGGATACTATTCCACCGCAGTACTCACCGGCGAGTAATCAGGCTGCGTTTGCTACGCATGCGCATCCTGAGGCTATGGAGCTGGCGGATACAAGCGTCAACCCTGTTCTCAACGAAAAAGGACAGCCGTATCAGGCATATAGGCCGCCGCAGCCTGTGGCGGAGTTGCCGAGTGTGACGACGCCGCCGGAGGATGTGGAGAAGCAGATGCATCATCGGTAGAGCGTGGATATGACATTGGGTGGGGGCGTTTTGGGAGTATACACAAAGGCATGGGATATGGGGCATTTCGGTCTTCTTTTTCGTTCTTGAAGCAAAATATAGGGATGATACCATGCACGGATTCTTTTCGTGTGTAATAAGTACGGTTTTCTTAAGATAGGGGCTCTTAACCTAGACCCTCTAGTCTAAGTTAGAATAACTTACCTACGTACACCTGCTTAACGTAGCTCTAGAGCTCTTAAGCTTACTAAAGCTATATAGTACTTTAGGCGCTTACTACTTTAAGTAGCTACTTAGCTAGTACTTTTATAATATACTTATATACTTACTTATATACTTACTTATACTTATACTTATATACTTATTTTATATACTACTTTATATACTATATAATACTTAATTACTTATATATACTATATATATTATATTATATTATATATATATACTAATATACTAAATATAGCTTTATATTTAGCTACTTTTATAAAAATACTATTACTAGTAATATTATAATACTACTTATACTAATATAATACTTAACTAATATATTATATACGCTTTAGCGCTACTTAAGTAATATAAAAGTATATTTCTAGACTATTTTATACTTTAAGTGTTTTTATAAACTTAGTTTTATAAGCTTTTAAGTTAACTTTATTACTTATATTATAGCTTAATAACTTTAGTAGCTTACTTTACTTTACTATAAATACTTTTTTTATACTATTTATATTACTTATCTTTTATAAGTTTACGCTATATAGCTATATATATATATACTATATACTTACTTAATTCTTTATATTTTTAAAAAGATATATAAATAGCTTAAGTTTTAGTACTAGCCTTAATAATAAAGCTTTTTTATTCTTTTTATTTTTTTTACTAATACTAGCTACTTTTTTATATACTACTATTTTTATATTTAGAGACTTAAAGTTTACTTTATTTATAATTTTATTTAAGTATACTTTTAATACTACTTATTATTAGCTATATATATATATATATATATAATATAAGAATACGTACTAGTTATAACTAGTTCTAAAATAAAAAAAGGTATTATTTTATTTAATACTTTTAAATATTTAAAAGTTTTTATAAATATTTAAAAATACTTTTCTTACTTTAAAGTTTTTATAAATAATATATACTTTTTTACTACTACTCTTTTATAACTAAACTACTCTCTTAGCTTTAGCTCTTTAAGCTTTTTTTTTTACTTTAGCTTTTTAGCTACTATACTTTAAAATATAACTTAAATTAATTTAGAATACTTATTATATTTTAGCTACTTAACTTATACTTACTATAATTATACTTTTTATTTTATTTATAGCTGCTATAATTACACTTACTATCTCTTCTTCTTAAGATAGAAAGTAGAGAGAGATAGAGAGGGAGATAGTGATCTAGTCTTGAAATGCGAGATTTATGTAGTTATGTTAAGGTCTTCATATTCCGGACTAGTTACTTTGAGAGTATCTTTTCACGTTTCAGTCGAGCGGTTTGTAGTGTGCCTCCGCTAATAATACCACCAGGCAATGAACATAATTACGCGATATATTTACGCTCAATGTACTCCGATATCAATGTCCCTTTTCGGTGAGCTTGATGAGGAAAGGCGGTGTGTGGGGAAAGGGCAACGAGTCATGGGCCGAGGCGGCATGTCGTCAGCCCTTGAGCCCTTGAATCTCGACCGTGAGATGCGAGAGATAAACGTGTCGCATCCGCCATTGTTCTCGACATACAGACTACAATACTCTATTGCATCGCCTCTTTCATTCCTATAGTGTTAAGCCTTCCTCAAGAACCATGATACACCTCCCCGACGAGCTGATCCTCCACATCATCTCCTGTAAGCATCCGTGCCCATCACGCGCGTCCCCCACCCAGCGCTGACCTCCCCAGACCTCGAACCTTCGGAGCTCGTCGCCCTCCAACACGTGTCGCGCCGCTTCCTCAACCTCTCACGCGACAACAACCTCTGGAAGTCGCTATGCTTCACCCACTCGACCGCTGAGCGCCGTCGCCGCCGCCTCGAAATCACCACCGACATCGACCCCCGCCTCGCCGAGCTGATACGCGCCGCCGACACCCTTGCCAACACCTTCGATATCTCTGTTCACGACGAGAGCGCGCCAAGTGCTGAGTCACAGCAGGAGCGCAATCAGGAAAAGCGCAGGCAGGCGCTGATCGCGAACTGGGATCCTAGTTACCCTGACGAGAAGGTGAATTGGTACCAGGACTTCATACAGCGCCATGCCGAGCAGAAGATTAGCTGGTTCCAGGATGCTGGGATGGAGGAGAGGGACGAGGGTGTCATAAGGAGGGAGGCTACGGGTGCAGGTGTTCTATTCGACGACGATGGCTTAGCAGACAAGCTCATCGCCCCCCTCGACGATGGCAGTATCAGCATCTGGGACGCCTCAGCGAGCAGCGACCGACAGGGCAAGATAATAGCGAAGAGCGACATCGGGCTGTTGCCAGGCAGAGGCTCAGACCTCGACTACGACACGCGCCTCACACAAAGCCAAGCCATCATGACGGAAACCGGTGCCGTAGAATGCGTAAGCATCGACAGCAAACTCCACAAAGGCTTCTTCGCCGTCAAAAACGCCCTCAACGAAGTCGACCTCAACACCCTCCAAGTCGTCTCACGAACACCCTATCCCTTCCCCATCACCGCCCTCTCCGAAGCCCACCACCGCACCCCCCTCACGGTCGGCACAAACTGGACGCTGCACCTCCACGACTCGCGCAAACCTCCCACCCCACCTTCCTCCGTCCGCTGCGAACTCATCGGCGGCCCAACCGACAGCGACTTCTCGCGCCTCGACACCGGCGACTTCGACGGCCACGTCTCGCTCTCCCAACCGGGTGCGCTGTCCATACTTCACCTACCTACAACGCGCGACTGGGATGGAAACGGCGATATCTGGGTCGCAGGACGCTTCACCAGCATGTTGAACTTTGACCGGCGGTCTTTCCCACGACTACGCGGTACTGTGCATTCTGGCGCGAGACTGTCTTGTATCACGGCTATACCGCATCCCTTCGTACCACACGATCTGAGATTGGGTAGACCGTATAGCAGTCCGGCATTGTTGCGCGACGCGAAATCTACACCGGGATATACGTTGATCGCAGCGGGTGAATACAAAGGCAAAGGCTCGCTCGAACTATACGGCCTCTCAAACGAACCGTCTCGTTCTATCAACTCGAGCGACAGCCGCACGACGCGCAACCAGAAAGCGTATTATCAGAATCGTCAGACGGCTAGTAGCTCCAAGTTGTTGGCTGTGGCGCCGCAGGGCACGCGACTTGTTTTCTCGGATGGAGATGGGAATTTGAAGTGGGTGGAACGGGATGGGAGTACGCCTGTGCGGCAGTTCAATATTAATGATTTTCAGAGGGGTAAGGATGGGGAGGGTGTGACGCAACATCAGCATCATAGTAGTCTTGTGAATGCGACGCCGGACTCGGAGGCGGGATGGGGGGATATTGTGCAGAAGATTTTGCCTACGACGAATGCCTCCTTGCTTACACCTTACTCTCCGGCTTCTTCTGGGACTGAGTCTCTCGGTCTGAATAACCTTGTTCTGTGGACTGGAGACGGGAAACTGGGTCTGCTGGGCTTTGGCAAGGAACCGCCGATGGCGAGGGATGTTTTTGAGGATGCGTTGGAGAGGCAGGGTGATGGGGAGGAGGGAGGGGAGAAGATGAGGGAGAGAATGTATGGGGTTGAGATGAGGAGGGCGCTTGAACATCAGGCTAGGGAGTTGAGGTGGTTGAGGGGGTATGGACTGTGAATAAGAAGGGCGGAACATTCACTCAGAAAGAGCCTGGTTTGTATCGGTGTTCCTTAGGGGTGCTGGTGCCTGGTAGACTCCTGTGTGGTACTTAAGGCTTCGCTCCTGCCCGGGTATAAGTACTTCGGCGCCTCCAGTACCTCCTCCTCAACCACCGAAAATGTCAGTCAACGCTTACGCCTCACCCATTGCTCTCGGCGACTCGAAACGCGCGAACCCAGACAAACACTCCTTCCTGGAGCTACCAGGCGAAATCCGCAATCAGATCTACGATTACGTTGTCAAATGTCCGACACCGCTTGAAGTAAAATACTACGGAATAGAGCCTTGGACTTGCGATCTGGGTCTATATTTCAACGGCCAGTCACGCATCCCGATCAATCTCTTCCTCTCCTGTCGAAAGATATACCATGAGGCCGCTTCATCTTTCTACGCCAACAATACATTTACCTTGAAACCGGATATCAGACGTTCAACATACCACTCCTACGCTGAGATATCCAGCACCTTAATCACTCGCTTAGGCACTCAAGCCCGATGGCTCGCCAAGATGGAACTTGATGTGAGCTCCCTAGCAGATTACCGATATCGCAGATGTGACGAGGGGCTTGGCTTCGTATTCAACGATTGGACCGAGCTTTTCGATGTTACTACTCTCCTTCGCGCTATCTGGAGTCGAGACTCGCCGGTGCTTGTTTCTTTCACCAGGTCGCCGAATCCCAGTACTTTTGAGTGTGACGCTACGACCGTGGCTGCTATCATCCAGTCCATCTGCCAGGGCCAACTTCAACTCCGTCGTTATGGACAGCAGCTGCGCGCGGTTGCGCTGAAGCGAGATGGATCTGGCGGGATACTCAACTGGGGGACTACTCCGGCTACACCTCAGCCATGGCAGTGCCCAGGTCGTTTCCAAGCGAACCCTGATTACCTGACAGACTTCACCGCTGAAGACAACGGTTCTCTGCTCAAGCTTATCTCGCAACGTAGCAAACCCTTAACTTTGCTCACCCTCCCTGATTCTATCCAGGACCGCATCTTCAGCATAGTCGTACATCCCATCGAGGGAACAAGCATCGATCTTGACAATGACACGAAATTCGATTGCGCACTCATCCACGTCAACAGACACTTCTACCGCACTTGGCGCGACAAGTTTCTCTTCGAGAACAAGTTCGTGTTGACCATGAGCACAAAGCAGCTACAAACGACATTCGACGACTTTAACCACCTCCGAGTCTTTCTCCGCAAGACCTACATGCCCAAATCGACCTACTCAAATGGAGAGCCAGACACCATCACCGCGAGGATCGTCACCCGGGACAAGGTGCATCAACAGCCCGGTCCCTCATACGTTCTTCGTTTTGAACTCGACGGGGCGGTCTCGCTTGCCGATGTGCGTATCAATGCGTTACCACTCGTCATGGAGACGTCAACTACGCAAGCATCAAACACAGTCACAATCCAAATTTGGACCACGTCTGGCACTGACGGACCAGCAACCATGACTGCGTCTCATACCATGACACTCCACCAGCTGCGACTCAACATCGTACTAGCGATAATGCGTCACGTGTATTCCATCCCAACGTTCCACCGAGACGAACTCCCAGATTTCTGGATCAACGGCTTCGGCGACGTCGTCCCGACTCCTCTTCCTCCTACTACCACTACCACTACCACTACCACTACCACTACCACTACCACTACCACTACCACTACCACTAATACCCATGTACCATGCTCCCCCACCGGACCCTGGCACCCAGCCTCCACACTCATATACAACGCCGACTGGGACGAAGACAACTATTCCATCTCAGAGCTCCATCCCATCGACTACGTCTACCGCAACAACGGCTGGGGATTCCATTCACAATGTGTGTATCCGGATAGTATACATTGGCAACTGTTTCCGTTTTGTAGGAGGACGAAGGAGGTGCTGCCGTATCTTGTGCGTTGTTTGGATGAGGCGGGGTTGCCTGATGACGAGGACGGGATTTTTGGACAGTAAGTACTGGTTGTGAGGTTGTGGACTGTGGGTGGGAATGTGCTAATGGAGGATAGGCTCAGAGATACGGTTGTGATGTGTGAGTGCGACTGGGGGTATTGTCCGCGCGAGGAGAGGGATAGAGAGTTTTTTGAGTACGGGTATTAGGGATTTGGGGAGGAGGGCTGGTGGAAGATATCTTACGGAGGGATGAAAAGCTTCGATCATAGTATCAAGAGACTTTAGAGCCGATTTCCAAGTATCGAGGACAAGTTTTATCAACGTTGTTCGTGCTTTTGCGGTAATGCGAAACCAAAATAGCGGTGCCTAGGTAGTTCACATGAACACACCGGTTTGGTAGCTACATAACTGGATTGGAGGCTATAGGATGAGGTGTAGTGAGGGTTGGAGAACACTCATGATTGAATCGATACATTAAAATTCATGAGTAGAGTATGAAGAATTCGATGCGAGGATGTGTAAGCTGGATGATAGTGATGTATGCTTACTAACTAGCGTTGTCGCGTCGCGTTCGGAAGCAAATCAGGGTTTGTAGCCGTCACTTCGATTGTCGACAAACCTCACACGTCGCACTCACCGGATGTCGCTTCCTGGAGGAACTGATGTATCGCATTCCTGTCGACGATCGTGCGTATGTATGTGCGCTTCACTCGCTCGTTTCAAGGGACGCCGTTGATGATGGCGTTCAAGCTCTGGACAGTGCGGCGTCCCCAAAGTTGCGAGCTCACGATGAGAAATTTACGTCACCAGAGGCCTCTACGCACTGAAGGCGCTACGGTGCCTCCCTTGGTATTCGAATCCGTGCACATGTTCTAGTAATGAAACAGATTCTCTCGGTTCGGTAGAGGGAAGGCATCACTGCCTCCAGGTTCCTGGTGCCTGGCCTGCGTTTAGCTAACATAGACTTGACCCTCATCTCTAGGTACAAGAACTATCGCCATTTCGACCATATTTTTTCCAGTTTCCTCGAGATTTCAACCAACTCAACCCCAGCAGTGCGATGGACGATCAGAAGCTCCTTCCCCCTCTCGCGCGCGGCGACTCGAAGCGCGCAAACTTGGACAAGCTTTCGATCCTCGATCTTCCGGGCGAGACTCGAAACCAGAGTTTTGGCTACTTGCTCAACTTTCACGCCCCACTGGATATATATCACCAGAGATATCATTTGGATCAAAATGGTCTGCTGCAAATGCGTCTCGGCTGCGGCGTACGGATTCCCGTGGCCCTCTTTGCATCGTGTCGAACTCTGTATCGTGAAGCAGTTTCCGCCTTTTACTCTGGCAATACCTTCGCCATAGGACTCGACGGCGGCGGCATTCTCTACCCTATACCATTCAGCCGTGGTTATAACTTTCCCATGGGATCCAACAGCTACTACTCTCCGAGTACCGCAGCCCCACATCGCGTTCCCATCGAATTGCCTGGCGCTTTCTTCGCACATCTTGGTACGCAAGCGTGCTGGCTTAAGAAGATTGTGCTTGACCTCATGGATCTTCCGAACGCAAGCTTTTACAAAGGTAGTTCGCTCAGGTCGCTTCCCGAGAATATTGCTCATGACGATGGGCTCACATTATTTAAAATCACGCCTGTCCTACGCGCTATTTGGAGTATAGGACGGGATATCGACTTCTCCTTTACCCACAGCAAGTGTTTGCCAATCCTAGGCCCCTCGGGTTTGGCATGCAACGCCCCAGCCATGAGCGCTATGGTTCGCTCTATTCTAGGAGGTCAGCTACGACTACAAACATACGGCCGGCTGCTGTGTGTGGTAGCCCTGGACCGAAACGGCGCTGGAGGTATAGTCGGTTGGGGCACCACTAACCCCATATCGTCAGACGCGTCTCCCACACGTAGACAAATCCGCGCCGACATGTATTTCGTTTCTAGTTTTATCGCCAAGGATGGTGGCCATCGATTGGAAATGGGCAAGCGAGAGAAGCCGCTGAATCTGCTAGACTTCCCCCGCCCCCTTCTCGATCGTATCCTCAATATGGTCGTGCACCCTAGTGAAGGCTATCGAGTCAACCTGGGCAAAGATAACAAGATCAACTGTGGTCTCATTCACGTCAATCGGAAACTTCATAAACGGTGGCGCGATGAAGTACTCTTCCGGGACAACCGCTTCGAGTTAGTCTTGACGACAGACTGCGCGCGTACCGACTTCGATCAGTTTAAGCATTTGCGAAGATCTCTCAGGAAGACGTATGATACTCGTACCTTCTATGTCGAAACGCGGACTCTTGTTACCGGCGGATATCTCAAAAACAAATTGCGGTATACTCTCAAGTTCGAAGCAGACAATCCCATCTCACTAAGCGAAGTCCGCATCAGCATCCTCCCCTTGGTTATGGAGACGTCTACTACTCGTGGAGACGACACAGTCACGATCGAGGTCTGGGCTAGGAACAGCGAGGGAATATCCAGCCTAGCCACTTCACATACCTTGACACTCCACGAGCTGCGCGTAAACATCGCTGCCGTCATGATGAAAAACTTCTACCTGACAGGAAACAAACTCGTACCAGACTTCTGGATCAACGGATTCGGAGAAGTCGTCCAAGTCGAGGACGCCGATGAGAAGATGCCTATCTCGGGCGGGGCTTGGGAGCCAGCTTCGGAGTTCACTGACATCGACGGCCACGGGTTCAAAGTACTAAGGCTACATCCTATCGACATTCATTACCGAGGTAATGAGATACCAGCGAGGCCTGTTGCTCATTTTGTAGAATCTCAATTCTTTCCGTTCCGGAGAGAGGTGAATGAGATTCTGCCGTACCTTATCAAGAGTATTGAAACGACAGGTGGGCCGTACAGGAACATGTTCAGTCGGTGAGTGTTTACTTGCACACAATCGTATTTTTCGTTTACTGATGCGTTTTCAGATTGATGATGACGCAACCATTGCATTACAAGGAGCTCAAGGAGCTCAATACGGACTACGCAAGTGACGATATGGACGCTGTAGAGTAAGCTTCGGACGATACAGCTGAGTACAGGGCCGTTTGGATAGTATGTAGGTGTCTCTTCTGCAAAATGCGTCAGGAATATATCCAAGCCTTCCGAGCTTGAGGTCGTACATAGTGGTTTGGGCGCAACCAGGTGCACCGCGGTATGCGGACCCGGAAAGACGAGTTCGACAAATACATAGCAAGGGAAACAACACAAATTATGTCGATACTTGCAGATTCTCGCGGCCATGGCATTATGGGGTGCGCCATCCTTGTAACATGCGTCATTACGTCGGTGCCACTCTTCGACCATGTTGCTATGACTCCACGACGGTGACTCCGCATTTGTCATTCACAGCACGATCTCTTCATCCACCGCGCTTAACGACACTACAAGTCTCGTCATGGTTCGCTGTCGCATACTAATAAGAGTAGGGTTAAGAGATTTTGATCCAAGGCGTCTTCGTTTGAAGTAGTGGATTCGTTACATCTTGCTCGGGATGGAGAATAGGTACGCTATGTGGCATATGCGATGGATGACGGAGCGAGTGCTGGGCACCTAAGCGCGCCATCTTCCAGATCGCGACCCATTGTCTTTGCGCATTTACACTCATCGCCTGCAATGGTGTACATATCACAGCTATGAGTGTATACAGCGCTCGACCTTATAACTTTGCGCACGCAAGTCTTCAATGATCGAGATCTCTCTCATTCGAGGGGCTTTCCGTTGGGATGGCCCTGATGAACACGTACGTATCAGCCTCTTCCTTGTCCTACATTTATTCTCCTACCTTCCTTACGCATGCAGCTACTGACAACGCAATTAGTGGCGGTCGGTTGCTACCTAAGTATGTGCAGTTTCACTGAGCACAGCCAGGTCCACATCGCGCCCGATATTGATGCCTAGTGTTCTCCGTGGTAGTACATGAGATTCAGCTCCTTAACGCGTTGGACTGCTGTCGCCGCCTCAACCACGTTTCGCCCAACCACCGAAGATGTCAACTCAAGGCTCAACTCAAGGCTCACCTCCAGGCTCACCTCCAGGCTCACCTTCAGGCAAGGTTAACAGAGAGTTTAAGGACCACTATGACGTTTGGTACCCCCCAGCATCTATACTCGCGATGGACAACTTCCACCCCGTTTTACCCCTCAGTCTCGGAGATTCGGAGCGCGCCGATCCAGACAAGCCTTCAATTTTAGATCTACCCGGCGAAATCCGCAATCATATCTTCAGCTATCTGGTCGAGTCTCGCACACTAGTGAGCGTGGGTTTCGTTACTCAACATCGCCCGTCCAACGACAGGGACATGCGACTTCGTTTTGTTTCTCAGGTTCACCCTCCCGTGGATCTCTTCACGTCGTGCCGAACGCTGTATCGCGAAGCAGGTACTATGCTCTACTCGAACAACACATTCCAACTTTCGCGCTATCTGCCCTTTCCACTAGAACTGCCTAGCTCGTTTGTCGAAGTACCACGAGAATTCTTCAGCCGTCTTGGATCACAAGCGCATTGGCTGCGTAACATTGTCTTAGATCTCGATCATCTACAACCCAGGGACTGCTTCAGGGGAGAAGCTCGACTGGACAATGACTTCGAGGAGCAAGAACGGGTGTTCGACGAGAAACTGGAGCTGTTTGAGGTTACTCCTCTTCTCCGGGCTATCTGGCGTCTTCACGCGGACGTGGATGTCTCGTTCACCCAGCCATTTGGTCCTGCTAATTATCAGGGTTGGGAAGTTTTCCGGTGCCACGCTTCCTCGATTACTACCATTATGCGGTCCATTCTACGGGGCCAACTGAAGCTACGGCAGTATGGAAGACTAGTTGCTGCTGTTGGTATAAAGCGAGATGGCTCCGGAGGAATGATCAACTGGGGTACTACAAATTACGATTATCGGGGCGCACATCCGCAACTAGTTAGGATTCTTCCTGGTCCAGAGCACATGTCTACCTTCGTGGCGGAGGACGACGGGTCCCGACTCGAGCTTGTAAAGAGCAATCAGGCTTCTTTACTTGGTGTCCCCAAACGCATACGCCGACTCATCTTCGACACGATCATCAACCCTGTTGATAGCATAGCTATCAACCTCAATGAGGAGACCAAGTTCAACTGCGGGTTGCTGCATACCAATCAGGAAATCTTCGAGACTTGGAGGTCACGTTTCCTGTTCCACAACCGCTTCACCCTGACGGTGGCAACAAGCGACCTCCGCACTACATTCCAGAACTTCGATAAACTGAGACGGTTCCTCCGCAAAACGTTCAAATCAGATTACAGCCGTAAGAAGAGAGCTGATGAGTCGATGAGGACTATTGCGACATCGAACGAATTTTGTTATCGTCCAACCGGCTTACACTACATCCTAAGGTTCGATCTGAATAGCCCAGCCACACTGAGCGATATCCGTATCGACATCCTGCCCTTCGTAATGGAAACCTCGACTACACCACCCCACCATGAAGTAACAGTCCAAATATGGTCCCCCACATCCGACGGCTCCACAAACATGACAGCTACCCACACCATGACCCTCACCAGACTACGACTAAACGTCATCAAAGCTATTTTAGACTGCGCATTCACAGGAATATCAAATAAGTCATACCTACCCGATTTCTGGACCAACGGCTTTGGAGATATCGTTGAGACTGTCCACGATTCAGACGACGACACGGGTGGAGCTTGGGAGCCTGCCTCCGAGATTGCGCCGGGAATATACCACCCCGTTGCCGTTCGAACTCTCCATCCTATAGATCGGAACTATCGGGAGTGTGAAGCAGATCTGGGATGTGAATACTATGACGATACGCAGTTTTTCCCTTTCAGAGCTGATAAGAAGGAGATTTTGGTGTATCTTATGAAGAGTATCGAGGACTATCCTAATTACTTCAAGACGTAAGTTGCAATTTCATATGCGTCTTTGATAGTCTGGATGGTTTTACTAATAGGGTGCAGGCTGAAGGCTCCGCCGCTTGCTTGCGCCTGCGAAGATGACTGTCCGCTTAGGAAAGATGATGACGAGGATTCGAGCGTTCTTGACTGGCAGTATCTTGTGGCGTGATGAAAGTTGAATGGGGAGGCAGATTGGACTTTGCCAGACGTCTGATCACCTCCTACAAGGAAGAGGTACAATAGGTGCCTGCGGTCTAAGCTGGTCCTAGAACAAGAATTTACTTATATTTAAAGGCAATGTACACTTCTACATTCTTCCTCAAAATGCGTTGTCTAGTCAAGATGACTCTTCGACCCCGCCAGCTATGACTCTAAGTCGATGACTGAGCGCCTGTAATTCATATACCTGTCATAGGGCTCTCTACAATTCCTGCAACGAACATGGACTTCAGCATGCAGTGACTTCTCACACTGTGTCCAGTGTATGTCATAGCCATGACTCCCTATGCAATGCTCGGGCGATGAGCCGTAGCAATAGCCGTGTACTTCTCTTTACTTCCACATTTCCTCTATCCATCCTCTAGCTATCTTCTACACAAAATTACACATCATGCACGCCATTACAACGCCTCGCGATGGTAAACAGTGGCGTCCTGTGTTACCCAAAGCCCCATCCTTCCTCACCCTCCCCGCCGAACTCCGCAACAGGATCTACCACCACATCTGCCACCGCCCCTCCCCAATCCGCCTATACTTCTACCAAGATCCCAGAAGCAACACGCCCAAACCAGTCGTGCCATATGCATCAAACACCACTATACCCACCGCCTTCTTCCTAACCTGCCGACAAATCAACGCAGAAGCATCATCAGTGTTCTACTCCACCAACACTTTCTTGCTCAACCGAACAAGCAAATTTGCTACTTTCACGCGCCCGTGTTTTGTCAGCGCGCTCGTCAAATTCTTGGACACTCTGGGTTCGAGAGCCGGGCTCGTGAGAAGTGTTGTGTTTGATACTTTTACCTTCCCAGATAGTGTATTTCTCTATACTTATCTGGACAGAAAGGCGAGGGTCTTTGATACTAGAATGGATGTTGTGGAAATTACGGTGTTACTCCGGGTGGCTTGGAGTCGCGGTCTTGACTTTGAGATTAGGCTTATCGATGTGGATGATGTGGGTGTGGAGGGAGAGAGGGCGGAGTATTGGATGGGGAATTTTGAGAAAGAATGCTCTAGGAAGATTATCAGTGTCGTCAATGCACTGCTCGAGGGGCAGTTGGGTCTTAGGGAAAAGAGCGATGCGGTGCGTGCCGTGGCGGTCAAGAAGGATGGCTCTGGAGGCTTAATTTGTTGGACTGACGCTCCCAGTGAAGGTCAGAAGGCTCCAATACCTCGTTGCCATTGCGGCCCGATGACCAAGTTCACTGCAAAAGGCGGAGGCAAAGAATTGGAGCTCGCCACATTTGCCCCTCTCTAGCTTCGCGGGAGTAGCTATCTTTGAGGTTTCACTCTACTCGCAGCATCAAGGCTGCAGAATTGCGAGCAACCGTGTAGGAACGCCCTTCCCCCTATCGACTAGGGCTCATTGGAAGAACAGTACTCTCGCACATACCAGAGCTGTCAACCGATCGCATCACCCAATCCGCCTACCGGGTCAACTTCTCGATCCCAACGAGAGTTCAACATGCCTCCATATACTATCCCCTCGCCTATAGCCACAGCATGCGACTCAAAGCCGATAGACCCAAGCAGACACTCTCTCGTCAAGCTGCCCGCTGAGATTCGAAACAAGATCTATGGATTTCTCGTCGAATACCCGGAGCCGATCATAATTGATCTCTATCTCTCCCCAGCCAGGGACGTCTATAGATTTTATCTTGGTGCAGGATTTGAAATGCACAAGGGCCTATTTTTCGCGTGTCGGACTACCTACCTCGAAGCAGCTTCACTGTTCTACGCCAACAACACCTTCGTTATCGTTCCGGCCAATCTCAAAAACCGTGGTACCATCGAATATCTTCTAGGTGTCTACACTGGATGGCTCCGGAAACTGGGGTCTCAAGTGTACTGGCACCATAAGTTCTCCATCGATCTCTCCCAAGGCGTCTTAGACAGGCGTATAAGCTTCA